TTATTACGTAATATTACGGTTTTCTTACGCTTCGTAAATTATTGCGCAATATTACGCCCTATTAAATTTGCTGATGTTACACATCTACTACAAAAAGTAATAAAGAGGCAGTGTTGTTAAAAAAAAAAATATTAAAAAAAAAATATTAAAAAAAAATAAGAAATATTAAAAAACAATAAGAAATATTAAGAAACAATAAGAAATATTAAGAAATATTAAGAAATATTAAAAAACTATATAAAAGTATAAAAGATATAATAAGTATTAGAGTAAATCTATTTTTTGATTATTTAGCTAACTGATAGTCTATTCATTATGTATTGTAGCTTATTTTGATCATTATAATCTTGTAGATCTAATAGAGATAAAATCTCTAACATATTCTATAATGTTAACATGTTCTATAACAATAGTATTAAGTATGGATACATGATATAATTGTTGTAATTAGTGAGCATTTATTAGTATATATATAAATAGGTAGAAGAGAAGAGTGTTTGAAGTACTTCTAGAAATTGTTGCTTTGTGTTTATAATAACATATAAGATATTAACAGTTGGTGGGAAATAAATAGATATTAGTAAATTGGTAACATAGTCTAGTAAGCAAAACAGTATTAATAATATAGATAGCTTGTTTTTTAGTAATATTTGTATAGTTAAGTTTGTTTAGTTCTTTGCAGAATTCTTGCTTGATTTTATAAATTAAATATTGGTTATCAATAGTGTAATCGATATATATACTTAGAAATTTGAAGGTTTGTTTTAGTAAAAGATTGTGTACTGTTTGGTTTTGAAAAAGAATTGAGAAAGTATTATTGATATTATTATAAAGTAATATAGATTTATAAGAGTTTATAGTAATTTCTGCTATTTGATAGAAAGAGAATATAATATTAAGTATTTGTTCAAATAATATATAGTTTAAGAAGATCTATATAGTGTCGTCTATATAGATAATTACATTGGTAGTAGTAAAGATTGTTGATTAGAGCTAGGTGTGTTAGTAAAAATAGTATAGCCTAGAGTAGATTTTGATACCTGGCTAATAAGCAAATTATAATAAATTCACTAAAGTATAGAGAAAATTGTTTTATCTTGATTTATACTATCTTTAATATCATAAGAAGATGTTTTGCCAATTGATATAATGATTTGATTTTGTTGTAAAAAAATGTTTGTTATAAGATTAGTAAATTGAGATGGTATACTAATTTTATAAAGGGCTTTTTCGAGTAGTAGTATATATATAGTATTGTAAGCTTTGAACATGTCTTGTAACAGTATCCAAAGCTTAATTTTGTATCTTTTTATAATTAGATAATATATTGAATAGATTGTAGTTTAGATGTTAAAAGAAGTGCCACGTTGTTTGCAAAGTCAAATAAATCATTAGTAAAATAAATAGATTAAGATGTACAGTAAGTATTTTTATAAAGATTTTTTTAATATCTTCAATTAATATGATGGAGCAGGTTTTGAAAAGATTACCAAATTGGTATCTTTTCTTGAGACTAGGGTGTAGTCTGTAAAGCGATACATGTATTGAAGATTTTAGCTAGTGTAGCTATTATAGTATAGAAAAGTTTTTTCAATATTTCATTGGAGATAGCAGAGGGGCTAGTAGCTTTATTATTGGGTGTAGCTGATATGGTTGTTTAAATTTCATGAATTTCAATTAGTACTAAGAGTGATATATAGGTAGTAGAAATAACTTGAGAAAGTGTTGTTCATATTTTGTCTAGAGTGTGGAGTTATAAGGGTTGAACTTGGTCTATTGTTTGAAGTGTTGTATAGTTGCTTGTTTAATTTTCTGAAAGTGCATAAGAATTGTAGTAGATGTTACAAAATTGTGAAAAGTTGTCAATTAATAAGGGTTTTGTCTGTATATGTAATAATCAATTTTTTTATTGATCATTATATAATTTATAGAATAATTATTGTCGCAGCTGAAACTGAAAATTAGAGACCTTGATTTAAAAATATAAACTCTAACAAGTAGTTTCTTTTGTCTTTTTGTATTAAACTTTGACTTTTTCATATATTTTTTTTTTCCTTCAATATTCTTTGAGTTGTTGATTATATAAATTTTTATTTTGCTTCAAAAAAATTATATATTATCTAATTATATAGAATATATTTGTATACAATTTTTTAAATAAATATATTACTACTAAACTATTATATCTTTTTCGTATATTTACAAAAACAATAAAATTATTATATTTTTAGTATATTTATTTTGAAATTTTATATTATAGTATACCCTGTTAAAACCGATCCTGTCAAAACTGATAACCTTTTACAACTAATAAAAAGTTGATCCACCATATCAGTTCTATAATTCAAATTCGATAACCTGCCATTTCTGATAACCAATATACAATCATCAGATATCTATAAGATATCGGGTTTGTAAAGTAAAATTAACTGATTTAATTGGCTCAAATCTGATTTTATGTAACCAAAAATATATGTATAAATATAATTTGGCCAATTATATTTAGCTATTATCATGTGATCATTAGGCTATTAGTATCTTAAATCTGATAACCTCTCAAAGCTAATACAAAAGCTATCTACTATACACACCGGTTTTGACAGGGTATACTGTATTTATTTTTTTGATTTATAATTTATATTTTTGCTTCTTTTTGATATTTTGTTGTACATAATATCTTATTAATTTACATGAATTTTTGCATGTTTTCACATGATTTTGGTTTGTTGTTCATAAATACTTATAGTTTTACATGTGTTTTCACTAGTTTTCAACTATTTATGTTTTACTATATTTAAATTTACTATAATTATTATATCTATATAATATTCCGAAGTTACTATAGTATAAATTTTTGTAATTATTACATCTACATAATACTCCAAACCAATTGTAAATTTTTATAAGTTTATACTCGCGTAAAAACTTGCAGAGGTTTATGCCTATTTATTTTTGCTGATGAATCTAAAATATATTTATAATATGAACGAAACTAGACTGTTTTATCAGTAATAAAAACAATGTAAACCTTAATATTTATCTTCTTTTTAACTTCCTTTTTTCTTTTTTAGCCTTGAACCAGATACCATACTTGCAAATACTTGTTTTAAAGGTAAAAAAAAGAATAAAAAATGGTTAACCTTTGCATTTTGTGCCAATGCAAATAGAACAGATAAAATGAAACCATTCATTATTAGTAAGTTTTCCAACCTATACTGTTTTAAAGTATAAACAGAAACAAACTTAGTATTATATATAGAGCTAGTTTTAAAGTATGGATAACAACTGTATTATTTTAAAAGTGGCTTAAGAAATTTGACTTAAAGATAGCTAGTCATAAAGTGATTCTTTTTTTAGATAGTGCAAAAGTTTATTTCTATAGTAATTTAAACCTCTGTAATACAACTGTTCATACCCTTCTCCATACACAACATTTCATCTACAACCTATAAATGCTGAAATCATTATGTCTTTCAAGCATTACTATTGTTTGATCAGTATGAATCTGGAAAAGATAATAAGATGGATGTCCTTACTGCTATAAAATATATTGTCTGCATGTAAAGAGAAGTGTTAACAGAAACAGTGCATAATTGCTTTCAGCATATTGAAATTCTTCCAGTTATTCAAAATAATAATAAACTTGCCACTGATAATAATGAAGAATTTATTATTAATAATAATAAAGAATTTGTTGCTAATAAATATGAAGAATTTGTCAATGATAATAATAATAATAAATTAATAAAAAAGTTGCATGCAGATATTGAAACACTTTACTTTAGAAATATAATAGATCTCAATAATTATATCAACTATTTAGGAGAAAATGATATGAATGAAGTATTGGATAATTAAGAAATTATAGATCTAGTCACTAATGTGGAACCTGAGATAAATAATAGTAATAATAAAAAGGAAGATAATAGTATAGAAATGCACCAGATTACTTATTGAGAAGCACTAAACTTCATAGAGTTGCTTGAACAATATCTCTTTCAGCAAGACTTTGGTGACACAGCCTAATTAGAACATGATGAAGCTTTATCAAAGTTACAAAAAGCAATAAGAAAATTCTGAAATATATTCTTCAGACAATTAGAGCTTGAAACTTTTTTTAGATTAGCAGATTCTTAATCTTTATTCAAAAAAAAATGCATATTTTTCTCCTTTTAACTAATGTTTATTTATTTAACTATTACGCATTTAAATTTTTTTTTTTTTTTTTTTAATATTTAGGTGACTACTTAGGCCCCTGGCACTTTATTAGTTCAAACGGGTGGGCTGTCCGAAGACAGCTTACATATTACATCA